CATCTGTGAGTGGCTCCCGTGGGAGCACGTGCTATGGCAGAGCAGGGCCCTGGCATCCCACTCCTGTGGGTTCAGAACCGAGCTCCAGCACTTGCCGGCTGGGTGACAGGCCCGCCCACAGCCGCTTCTCTATCTAGCCGGTGGGCAGGATGAGAGACAGTGTACAGGACTGAGGCCCCGTGGGCAGGTCCTGGGCCGGCGTCCTGTCTCCCTGTACGCCCCAGGCACGTGTGCACATGCAGGTGGTCCTGGCAGGCTGAGGCGGGGTGGATCGTGGTGTGAGGACCCCGTCGGGGTGCCCCTCCCACATACGTAAGAAACGAGCAGAAAGAGCCGCGGTCATAGCCGGAGCCTACGCTTGAAAGGCCTGCTTACAACACACATCCTGCTTACGACACAAGGCGTGTTCTCACAGGTTCCTGGTCGCTTGTGAACGCCTGCTTTCCTGCAGGGAACCTGGAAGCTTGCTCCGTGAGGCCAGAGAGTGCTACTGTAATCAGCCCCAGGAGACACCGTGGACGCTGAGTCTCCAGGAAGCCTTGCCCGGTGGTAACGTTTCACATGAGTTGTCATAAGTCGGGGCCGGGGGCTGTGTCCTGAGCCACCCCGGGCGGGAGAGGGCTGCTGCTGTGCATGCCCAATATCTCCCAGACTTTGCTTAAGGGCAAAGCAACACAGGTTTGTCGGCCTCAAATTAACACGCAACTCTCACCCTAATGCTAGGGGCCGTGCACGGCACTCCAAGTCCTGGCGCTCAGCTGACACCCACCCCTCTGCAGCTTTGATGTGGGGCCACCTCGTGTTTGTTTTGCTGGTGTCATCGGAAAGGGATGTTCCTCTCCGTCGTCACGGAGAGAAAATGGACAGATCTATCTTATGTTTCTGAATATCCTCCTTTCACAATCAGTTTGTTTCTTGGAGACCAAAAAAAAAAAAAAAGGCAGCTATTAGAGTTTAATATTTGCTGAAAACCAAACGCGCCTTCCACACAAGGTGACCGTGGGCGTCCTGGAGAGCCATGGCCCAGCTGAAGCGGAACTGAAGGCCAAGATGGCACTCCTCATACATGGACCACGAAGTGGGAACCCACTCTAAGGAGCAGCAAGCCACAATGAGGCTGACGCTGGGAACGGATCTAACCCTGCTGTTGAGTTTGGGTTGTGGGTTATTAGGTAAAAATACCGTAATTGTGAGGACGCAGGCAGTGCCCTGGCCACGTGCAGTCACCAGGCTCGAATTCCTCCACCAGCTCTGAAATCTTTCAGCTGGTCCTGGCTCTCCCACATCCTGACCCATGTCCCTCCAAACGGGGTCCCGTGGTGTTCGTTGCTGTCTCTGGAGCCCATGCGTGGCTGCGGGCAGGTGTTCTGACCAGTCAGTCAGCATGTCCTCATCCGCTTCCTTTCGCAGCATGAGCGAGACAGAGAAGAGACAATGGTGTCTGGCGGTGTCCCTGACAATCTGGTCACCCCATATGTGGATCTACAAACTGACTTAAATTCTTCGCCAAGATCGACGGAGCTGTTGGGTAATTGCTGAAACCCGATCACGGACACATGGAGTCTGTCCTACCACTCTGCGTTTTTATGTCTGTTTGGGAATTTCCACGAGAAATGTTTTTAAATAGTCAAATTTGGGGCCAGCAGGTTGCCTAGTGGTTAAGGCACTGGACTCCCACATAGTCGGCTGTGGTTTGAGTCCTGGACACAGGGGCTTGAAAATCATGCCGGGCACGTGTGTGTGTGCGTGCCCAAAATCTCCGGAGGAGAATGGAGAAGGGGCTGCGGCATGGCCGTCCTCCTGGGGCATGACTTCTCACTCTTGTTCTGTGTCTCGCCAGTGAGCACACGTGCCCTATGGAAAAAAACCTCTCCAAAAAAATAAATAAATAAATAAAAAGAGTCACGTTTAACAAGGAATCATCAGATGATCATCTGGCACATTGCTTACTAAGACCCCGAGGGTGGCCTGCAGGTGATGTGGTCACAGATGCCACGTGAAATCATCTGTAGGACCCTGAAAGTTGTTTTTCAGTTTGTGTCTTAGGATGTGCACTTGCTAGG